TTGAACCTTTGCTGTTGAGAGGTCTCAAGCGTAACTATAGTGTTCTGATTGTCTGATCCTGATCCGTTTCTATACTTGGACATTTGAGCCTGCCTGCCCCTGTTTCATTAGTTTGCCTGCCTGTCTTTGGACTCCTGTCCAATTCTTCTGTGGATGGAACCTGGACCTGTCTCTTTACTTCACCCTGTGGATTATCCGGTCTTCTTTCATCAGCTCAGATCTGATCTTCTGTCAGCTCTGTCTTGCCGGAATTCTGGGTCCTATGTTCTGAGCTTATTACTATGAGCTTATTACAGAGAGGAAAGATGAAAAAAAGTACCCTGCAGCTGTAGATCACTACAGAGAGTATGTCAATTACAAGAAAAAGAAAAATGCTTAAAGCAAATGAACAGCTAAGAATCAAACTTTGCAAGGATCTTCTGTTGGACAAAATCCTTGGGAAGACTGTGAAAATTCTCCCCTTTCTTTGTGCAGCCTGCATTAACTAGGATGCCAAATTGTGTCTGGTGTGTTCAGTGTCATAATTCTGTGTTGTTATTCTGCACTTTTTGGTTTTGTCTAAGTTTTCTTCTTGAGTTTTGAGTTTCACTTTGATTCATGATTTTCTGTGTTTTCTAGTTTTTTTCTAGTTCTAGTTTCTAGTTTTTTTCACCATTTTGTGGTGTTTTTTGCATGTATTTTAGTTCTTATGTATTTCTTGTTTTCCCTCTGTTGTCCTCCTATGCAAGTCTCCTTTCCCCTAGCTGGCTTTTAGATTCCTCTGTTCACACCTGCTCCCAATCTGCTGATTAGCCTGGTCTTTCTTTCCTGCTCCCATGTACAGGTCCTTCTCAAAATCTTGGCATATTTTATACTTTTTTACTTTTATTGTCTTTATACGGATGATTTTGGCATACAGCAGCGTTTGGTGGCATCGGCTGGAGTGTTTATTTTCCAAAACAACATGTCTGAGGCATCGTACAAGTGATTGTACTACTGAACCTTCTTGATAAACCTTTCGTTATAGTTGTCAATTGTAGTTGTTTCTTGGTTTTTAAAATTGCCGTGCCCCAGCACCGAATCGAGAAGGACAACCACACAGACAGCCAGAAAAGCATGTCAAGGACCAATCACAGCTGCTTTTCGTCTGTGCACTTCTTTTTGCGGTCTGCACGGGTTTGTGACCGTCCAACATGTAGTCAGGATTTTTTTTAGGTGCGGGATGCCGGTTGCAGAATTTGCACAGGGGCGCGTGGTCGCGCATAGAGACAGATTTGATGGTTTCAGACTCAATGCGTCAGAAGTATAAATTGGCCTTTAAGAGTCAGATTCCTCTGTAGTTGGAACAAACCCTCCGGTCCCCTTTTATAAGTAGGGGGACCACCACCCCAGTCAGCCAATCCAGGGGAACTGTCCTTGATGTCCACGCAATGTTGCTGAGTCACATTAACCAACACAGCCCGACAACATCCAGAGCATTAAGGTACTCAGGGCGAATCTCATCCACCCCTTGGGCCCTGCCACCAAGGAGCTTTTTAACTACCCCAATGACCTCATTACCAGAGATGGGAGAACCCGACCCTTCCCCCAGGCTCTGCTTCCTCAATGGAAGACGTGTTGGTGGGATTAAGAAGGCCTTCGAAGTACTCTGCGCACCGACAAACAACATCCTTCAGGAGCTGTAAATACACTTGCATGTAGCTCAAGGCTAGTTTCCATCCATAGTCCCATAGGATAGGGGCAAGCAGGTACAAGGAAAAACTTGCAGTACGTGTAACAAAAATACAGACAAAAGATGAAATATACATGTATCAAGGACAAAAGACACACA